ATAATAAACTGTATTTTATATAGCGCCTTTAAAGGTGGCTTCCCAGTATTCCTTGGTCAAGTCGAGTGTAGGTAGATAGTTCCCCTTCGCTATTTGATAAGTACATCTATTCGAGATATCGGGAGTAAGTTAAATTTAGAAACTTCATTTAGTTTCCTAGAGTCATTACAAAATCTGTGGTATCATCACTAAAGTATTGGACCAGGCTATAAATTTCCTTTAGAACTCTCAGATCTTTCATCTTCTCCATTTCCATGAAATTACGTTTTCTTTTTGGTATAGGGAGTAGTATAAATGTAGTATAAATGCAAGGAGCATTTAGCATGTCCAGAGTTTTCATGAATTACTAGAAGGTGCCACAATATCATGACTGGATAGGAGACTAAACTGTCACTTTTCTGCTTATCAGTAGCTCCCTCTGTCTAGCTCCCTCTGTCTCTGACAGACACACTGTCTAGTGTCTATTAGCCACTAATTCCTCTTTTGTTCTTTCATAAGTTTGGGTGCGACCTAGATGGAGTCCACTAATCTGCACACAAACAAAACATGCTTTGTGTCACTAATATTTGCCTCCTGTTCCCATTCTTTCTATGTTACCATGATCTGATATTTGTTTTGTTGATCAGGTTAATGTATTTTATAATTTACCAGACTCGCCCATTCTACAACCTCACATGATCCCTTTAGTACTTCCCTTTAACTGGCATTAATCAATTAATTTTCCTTTATCTCCCTCAAAATCCCTCAGAGAGGCACAATTCACATTTTTTTAGGTCACTTTTAGAATTTTCATCCTGAGGTTGTGTAGATGTTTCTTTCTCCTCTACTAGGGTAGTGTTTCCCTCTGTTCCCTTATTATTTTCCATTTGGTTCTTAATTTTCAAGGTTCAAAAACACTTGAAATTAAGTGTTTCCCTCCCACCTTTTCTTTCCCTCATTGCCTTTTAGTTTTCCTTTCCCTATTGCTAGGTAGTCAGAACAGTTCTTTAGAAAAAAGATACTGAACTATTTATTTCCTCCCCTGTGGGAACTTTCTTCTTTAGCAATTCTGAGGAGTCCAGAAAAACCCTGTCGATGACCATGGAATGTGACAGCTTAGATACTACAGACACTTGTATAAACTA